TTCCAAGGTTTTGTCAATCAGCACTGTTTCACCGAGACAACTCCTTCCCCCTCCCACTCTGCCTCCCACATCCTCACTGTTCTCCCTCCTTTGCCTTTATCAAAAGCAAAATGCTATTTCATACCTCTGCGTAATCTACTCTCTTTTTTCATCTATGTGCAAGCGGACCAAGCAGCAAAGTTACCTTTATGTTTCTTTTGAGTAGATGGTTTTAAGTCTGAATTGTTCTCAATCAATGCAAAACCCTGGACAAAAACCTTCAGTAATCAAATAACGCTAGCTGCGTTTGCAATGCTTGAATCTGAAAGACATGCGTGGTGTGCGAGAATGTCTAGAAATTAGAAGTCGTACAAAGTATCGTTTCGTTTATGGATGCGTGACCACGCATGCTGTTGCGCCCACGAAAAGAAATCTTGCCTTAGTTCGGTCAATGCACCCAAGATTTTGTCAGTCTCCGTGGCATTTGTTAATTCGACCTAAACCGGCGAGGAAATGAGTCCGTGGATAGAGTGTTGGAATGCTGATCAACAGGTCATGGGTTGGAGCCTGGGGAACTGCATCATATAGGGTTGGGTATGACTGGCTAATGACGGCTAGTGAGCCAGCAATGGCCATTCTAGTCTCCATTCTCTTCACCGACAATGTTCATCGGTCTTCAAAAAGGATCGTGAGGTAGGAAGGAGTGGGGAGGTCGGTAACAGTTCATTACATGGACCACCGCGGAAACCAAACCTCCTGAATTCTGTAATAGGGGATCGGTGGTAGCGGGGGTTATGCGGGTGGGAGCGCAAGATAGGAAATAAAGGAAGTATATCAAACAAAAAATAGGAAATAGTAGATAAGATTGTTATCATTATGCAAGGAAAAAACGTGCGATAATTTAAAAATAAAATAAAATGAAAAAATTAAATAAATTGCCCAAGCGAAAAAATAAATTACCACTACCACCGGCGCCGTATTACAGAAGTAGAGAGGTTTGAATTCCGTGGCGGTCCTGCCTGACAGTCAGCTCACTGCGTCCGCATTGGTGGATTCCATACGTGCAGTAAAGTTGGGTAAGCAAATCGACCCGAGTGTGATTGAATTCACGGCGCACGGTGAGCCTCGTACCTCAATGGTAGAGCGTTGGCTGCGCAAAAGCCTTCCCTGCTGTGTGGTTTCGACTCCCAGCGAGGTCGCGAATTTTTCACAATTGGGTCAATTGAAATATAATGCACTGTTATCGGGAGGTCAATGTTGCATTAGTCTTCTTCACTACAATTTACGTCAGGTGAAATTCACTGCCACTTGCTCTGGGTAGTATAAATCGTCATCGAGTCCGACAGACGAAATAAGACGATGGAATCTAACCTCACAATAATAAGTGTATAGTGATACTGTGATTTTTACTAGTTCTACCAGTTAATCGTGCTAATATCCCTCATAAATGGTTATTAATCCTTTGGCCGTCTTTCTGATTTTTCGCTATCTTGGGTAGCTTTGCGGAATAACATGGGCTTAATCTAGCCTTCAAAGTTACTCTTGGTAATCTTTTAATATATCCTTTTTAAACTGTTCACTCGTAACTTGTAATCCATGCTGGTAGGTATACTGGCCTTAACATCCACAAGAAGCCATGGTTTTATATTAATTAAAATATCTTGTGAAGTAAGTTGCTTCTGGTATGTCACATAGTAATTTGGACGGATTGGAGAATATTTAGGAGGAAGTTGACTGTCGAACGAGTGTAGGTCCGCCCCCAAAACGGGCGGCATCCGAAGTGTCTAAGCCTGGCAGTCATCACAGTGGTCAGAACGGTCTTTGTTTGATTCAGCCTTGAAGGTGATTGACCAGACAGATTGGGGTCGACCTACGACTGTGCGCGTGTTAGTGGCCGCCGCACGAGGCAAGCGTGCGCACGGAGTTTGCGTCTGTCTTAGAGATCAGCTGCGAACTGTAATAACGTGACCTCTTGCGTGGCGCCGAAGGTAGAAGGCGCTACGGGGTCACTACATCCTCTCTGTAAGCGATGTAAGTCCGTTAATTTAAAACGTTTTTGAGTGCGCGTGAAAATGCAAACTGTATTTCATAAATTGTGTAAATTAAAAGAATGGGAAAAGTTGAAACAAATAAGAAGTTAAAGTAATTGTTGGTAGAGGCGTCAAGAGAGTAAGAGGAAGGCGTCAAGAGAGTAAGAGGAAGGCGCCTTACCTTGAAAG